TACGCTGCATGAGCCGACTCTACTGAGTACGAAGTCGAGAGTCAGAAGAGTCGAAGCGACATCAGCAATCGTCAGATAAAGACCGATGTAGGCAGAAAGATTCGAAGTGAAAAGAGTGGGAACAGGTTTGAAACTGGTTCCTGCGCCGCACAGTTTAAAGCTGCGGCTTACATACCTCAAGGGACGGGCCTTGGTTTATCACCTGAAAACCAGATGAACCAAGTACATGTCTGGGGAGAAACCATCGAGGCAGAAAGAGGGAGGGGACTGGGGGTTCCCAAACCAGCCGAGGCCATGTTCGATAGCAGGTGTTTGTTTTGCAACGGAACGAGAGGGGGAAAAGTTTAGTGGTTGCAAAATTTTGTTGCGCCTGGTTCTGGATGAAACTCACAAAACCAACCCCCCGCATCCCCGTTCCGTTAGGCTATCGAACAGGGTTTAGGAACTTTATCTAGGACTTCCGCCCTTCGGCGCATTCATCCCCCAAACCTCCCCCCCTCACGAAATAACAACAGACTCGCTTGAGTCTGTTTTCCCAACCCATCGCCCCTAGCGAAACTGAGTAGTTCCGCGAAGTCTTGTTCTGGAAGAGAGCCTCTTCGCAAGCCAATCAACGTGTGCCAAAGGGTGTGCAATAGAAATACCCCCAGAAAATACCCAGAAGTATGTAGACCGCAGCTTTAAACTTCGCGGTAACAAGGGAATGTAGGGCTAGAGTACATGGCTAGTCTAGGTCGTTTCGTATTCCATGTATTCTATATATAAAATCGATGTATGCCTGCTTTTGATCATCTCAGTCATTTACATTCACTTTGATATGAGGTCAACACTTCCGCTGCAAAAACCTACCTGCGATAATAGAAAGACCTCCAATCATTGCAAAAAATCAACGCGGGGACTGTTAAACTATATGTTCGTATTGTCTCTTGGCTATAGTGGTTTGCTTACAAGGGGTACAACACATTTGGGTTAGTACTTGTACCCAACTCATTCATAATTCATTCATTCCTGCACTGTGATTTTGACATGGTATTCAGAGCAGGAAACCTGTTAGGTTTTTAGGGCCTAACGATCGTTCCGCTAGTTCCTGCCCGAAGCGCCCTTGCTCTGTCCGGCCCTCTCGCACAGTGTCACGCTGCACTGCAGCTACTCGCACTGCACTGCAGCTACTCGCACTGCCTGCCCTAGCGCGCTGCCCTGCTGTCACGCGGGCCCCTGCTGCCCGCGTGCAGCTTCCGCCCAACACGCCACTGCTGCCCGCGAGAAGCCCCTGTCTCGAGCGCCACTGCTGCCCGCGAGCAGCCCCTGTCTCGTGCGCCACTGCTGCCCGCAAGCAGCCCCTGCCTCGAGCCCCAATGCTGCCCGCGAGCAGCCCCTGCCTCAAGCGCCACTGCTGCCCATGAGCAGCCCTTGCCTCGAGCGCCACTGGTGCCCGCGAGCAGCCCCTGCCTCGAACGACACTGCTGCCCGCGAGCAGCCCCTGCCCCGAGCGCCCCTGCTGCCCGCGAGCAGCCCCTGCCCCGAGCGCCCCTGCTACCCGTGAGCAGCCCCTGCCCTGCGCATCGCGCCCTGCTGCAATCCGCGCGTCGCGCTCTGCTGCAGCCCGCGCGTCGCGCTCTGCTGCTCCGCGCGTCGCGCTCTGATGCAGCGCGCACGTCACGCCCTGCTGCCCTGCGCGTTGCGCCCTGCTGCAGGCCGCGCGTCGCGCTCTGCTGCTCCGCGCGTCGCGCCCTACTGCAGCCTGCGCGTCGCGCTCTACTGCCCCACGCGTTGTGCCCCGCTGCAGCCAGCGCGTCGCGTCTTGCTGCCCCGCGCGTCGCGCCCTGCTGCTCTGCACAGCACGCGCCCTGCTGCCCGCGCCGCCCAGGCCGAGCCGCGCCGCCCAGCCCGAGCCGACCTGCCCAACCCGAGCCGTCGTGCTGGTACTACAGCTGCTGCTGCTGCTGCTCGTTCTACTGTTGCTGCTGGTGGAGGTGCTGCTAGGAGTGCTGAAGGTGCCGCCGTCCAGCCCCACCAAGCCGCCCTACTGCCGCTACTGCTGCTGCTGCTGCTCGTGCTACTGCTGCTGCTCGTGCTACTGCTACTGCTGGTGGAGGTGCTTCCGGGAGTACTCGAGGTGCTGCTGGTGCTGGAGGTGCTGGAGGTGCGGCTGGGAGTACTGGAGGTGGTGCTAGTGCTGGAGGTGCTGGACCTACTACTGAGCGTCATTGCCTGTCATGGCCACTTGCAGCGGCTAGGGATGGACGGCAACGGTCCCTGCCTCTCCCGGACGACCCCACCCCTCAGCAGCTACGTGAGTGGGTTTTTCAGCGAGGCCGTCCTGGTGGTGGAGGTTTTGGTTTTATGTGGTCTCAGCGACCTCGCGACTGTACTTCTCAGCGATGCGTCCCTGGTTGTGTAGAGGTTGCTGCTCCCAGTTCTAGTGAGTCTGCTGCCGCTCCTGGTGCTGGTGAGTCTGCTGCAGCTCTACGTGCCCGTCAGTCTGCCGACGCTCTAGGTGCTAGTGCGTCTATTGCCACAGGTCCTTGCTCAGCTGAGGCCTTGCATACTTTCACGCTTGACTCAGGCGCGTCACGTTGCTTCTTTCATGATTGCACCACAGTCAGACCACTTGCAACACCTGTCCCAGTCTCACTGGCTGACCCCAATGGGGACCCAGTAGTTGCGCGAGCCTCCACTGTCCTCCCGAATCCTGCAGTCCCCTCCGGTTCTCTGTCAGGTCTCCACCTCCCCACGTTCTCGACGAACTTGGTAAGCAACGCTGCCATTCAGGATGTCTGGGTTGATACCTTTATTTCGGGAGGGCAGCGTGTGGCGATTTGTATGTGCTCTTGGACTGGCCGTCACCTTGCTATGTTCACTCGACGGCCTGGGTCTAGTCTGTACACACTGACCACTATGTCTGCACAGGTGGCTGAGGCAGGTCAGGTGGCTGCGTCGAGTCAGGTGTCTGCGTCTGGTCAGCTTGCAACGTCTTGCTCGTGTCGGGTACCCCTCGCTGACGCGTCTCCGCAGCATGCACTCCCGTCTCCTTGTCTCTGGGCTTCCCAAGTCCCTGCCCTCCCTCTCATGCTCTCCTGCACCGCCTTGCATTCCCTACGTTGAGGGGCGGCAGCGGGCCGCTCCGCACTCCTCCGAGTTTCCTACGACCACTGCTCCTTTGCAGACTCTCCACATGGACGTTTGGGGCATGGCCCTCGTCAGTGGAACGGACTAGGAGCGCTGCTTCCTGCTGGTTGTTGACGTCTACACACGCTACACCACTGTCTTCCCCTTGCGGCACAAGGCGGACGTCAGCGGTGTTTTGATCCCCTGGATCCGTGCTACTCGTCGCCAGCTGCACGAGCGGTTTCGTTGAGACTTGCCAGTCCTGCGTCTGCACCCTGACAGGGGCGGTGACTTCTCTTCCGACCTCCTTGAGGAGTTCTGTTGAGACGAGGGCATCCGCCAGACGTTCACGCTTCCGCCCTCTCCCCAGCAGAATGGGATTGCTGAGCGTCGCATTGGCTTGATCATGGAGGTGTTAGGCATATATGCTATAGTCTGTGTAGGCTGTAGTGGGGCAATTCAAATGGGGTACAACACTTTAGGGTTTACTACTTGTACTCCTCATTCTGCTCAATGCATTCATTCCTCGTTTCTTATCATGGTATCGAGCAGGTTCCCTAGTGGGAACGCTACCTAGGGCCCACCACGATTTTTTTTTTCCTGCCCGGAGCGCGCTTCACTCCTGCCCGAGTCGCGCTCTATGTGCCCTCCCTACCTTCGCGCCGCCCTTAGTGGCCCCTCTCACGGCCCCTTTCGCCGCCCTTACGGCCCCTCGCGCTGCCCTTACGGCCCCTTACGGCCCCTCACACCGCCCTTACGGCCCTCGCGCGGCCCCCTTTCGACCCCTCCTTTCCGGCCCCTTACGGCCCCGTCGCCGCCCCTTTCAGGTCCTCTGCGGCCCCGTCTAGGCCCCTTGCGGCCCCCTCTGCGGCCCCGTCTAGGCCCCTTGCGGCCCCTCTGCGGCCCACCTGCGGCCCCGGCGCCGCCACCTGCGGCCCCGTCGCCGTCACCTGCGGCCCCGTCGCCGCCAGCTGCGGCCTCGTCGCCGCCACCTGCGGCCCCGTCGCCGCCCCCTGCGGCCCCGTCGCCGCCACCTACGGCCACGCAGCCGCCACCTGCGGCCCCGCCGCCACCTGCGGCCCCGTCGCCGCCACCTGCGGCCCCGTCGCCGCCACCTGCGGCCCCGTCGCCGCCACCTGCGGCCCCGTCGCCGTCACTTGCGGCCCCGTCGCCCTCCACTAGCGGCCCTGTCACCACTCAGCTGCCCAGCGACCGAGCCGCGAGTAGCCCAGCAGCCGAGCCGCCCACCTGCCGAGCAGCCGAGCCGCCCAGCAGCCGAGCCGCCCAGCAGCCGAGCCGCCGAGCAGGCGAGCCGCCCAGCAGCCGAGCTGCCCAGCAGGCGAGCCGCCGAGCCGCCAAGCAGCCGAGCCGCCCAGCAGCCGAGCCGCCCTGCCGCCGAGCCGCCCTACTGTCGAGCCGCTGCTGTTCCTACCAATGCGCCTCGGCCCTCCTTCCTCGGACTGGTGAGCTCACTCCCTACTAGGCCACTGCAGTCATGGCTACCTCCAGTGTCCTTACTTTTCATGGTGAGGGCCGTGCCGTTGACTTTGAGGTCTGGGTCGATGACCTCCAGCTGTTTCTCCAGTGCGATAGGGCAGACGGACTCTCTCTGTTCGATCTCACCTCGGGTGCCTCTCCTGCCCCGCCTGCTACTGCTGACAGCACTATTCGCTCACAGTGGGGCCACACGCGATGCTGCTGCTCGCCTTGCTGTGCATCGCCACTTACTGACCACTGAGCGTGCACACTTTAGCCAGTACAAGAGTGCTCAGACCTTGTACGACGCTGTAGTTGCACGCTACTCTTCCTCTGCCACTGCTGCACTGAGCCGCCTCATGCTACCGTACCTCTTCCCTGACCTTGCTGCCTTTCCCACAGTCGCTGACCTCATTATGCACCTCCGCACTAGTGACACTCGCTACCGTGCTGCGCTTCCTGCTGAGTTCTGCGCCAAGAACCCCCCCCCTATGTACATCACCCTCTACTACATAGTCACCCGGCTCCCTGACTCTCTCCGCGTAGTCAAGGACCACTTCCTCTCAGTTTGCCCAACCACACTCACCGTTGACCTCCTTGAGAAGGGCCTCCTAGCAGCAGAGAAGAGCATAGTCGCTGTAGGAGCCTCTCGTGGTGACCCTCGCACCCCCGTCTTTGAGGGGTGTTCCCCCTCCCCCCTCTTGCCCTCTGTTGCCTCTACTGCTGCGGCCGACCTCGTTGGTTTCGAGTCGGTCGGCGCTGCGTCTGCCCCGAGCGCGAGACACCGCATCAACAAGGGCAAGGGGGGCAAGGGCGCTGGAGGGGCTGGCGGGGGCGGTGGAGGTGGCGGTGGAGGCAGTGGAGGGGGTGCAGGTGGTGGTGGGAGTGGTGGCGGGGGTGGAGGTGTCGGTGGCAGCAGTGGAGGCGGAGGAGGCGGCGGCGGTGGCGGAGGGAGCGGGGGCGGCGGAGGTGGGTGAGGCGGCGGAGGCGGCGGAGGTGGCGGAGGCGGCGGCGGCAGCAGTGGACCTGGTCACAGCTCTGCGCAGAGGAGTGGTTCCGGTGGTGGTACGCGCCAGCAGCAGCAGCGCAGTCGTGAGACCCGGTCCCCTCAGCAGCTTCGTGAGTGGTACGCTGCGCGTCAGCGCGGTGGGGGTACGGGTCCCTGCACCTACGTTCTCCGCACCGACGACCGCGCTGGTGAGCAGTGCGGGGGCCCGCACTCCACCCAGCGCTGCTTCGGACGCCTGACGGACGCGTGGCGTCACCAGTTCCCTGAGGCCTCGGAGATCCCCCGCTGAGGAGAGCCGTCTAGGGCGGGGGTTGCTATCTTTGATCTTGATTTTGATGTTATTCTTGCTGCCATGTATGCTGTTGCTGATAGTGTTGAGGATGACTGTTACCTGTGTGTTCCGCCTGATCCGGGCATTGAGCGTGCTGCTCTATGTGCTGGCGAGGCTGCTGCTGTAGGTGCTAGCGCGTCTGCTGCCCCAGGTGCTGGTGAGTGTGCCCTCTCAGGTACCACGTCGGCTCAGGCCTTACACACCTTCACCCTTGACTCGGGTGCTTCCCGCTCCATCTTTCGGGACCGCACCACACTTACGCCGCTTAGTCGGCCTGTTGCAGTCTCTTTGGCGGACCCCTGTGGGGGTCCTGTCCTCGCTCGCTTCTCCACTATCTTACCGTGTCCGGCAGTCCCCTCTGGCACCCTGTCAGGTCTCTACCTCCCCTCGTTCTCTACGAACTTGGTGAGTGGAGCGGACCTACAGGATAGGGGGGTTGACCAGTTCACTCCTGCGAGTCAGTGGGTGACCCACTGCACATGTGCTCGGACAGGCCGACACTTGGCCACGTTCACCCGTCGGCCAGGGTCGAGCCTGTACACCCTCAGTACTAAGTCTCCTCCGGCTGCTGAGCCTGGTCAGGTCGCTGCGTCGAGTCAGGTGTTTGCTGCAGCGTCCAGGTCTGGTCCTGAGTCTGCTCCCTGCTCGTGTCGTCTCCTGTCTCACCAGACTCTCCTTTGCCACCACCGCCTTGATCACCCCTCTCTGCCTCGTCTCCGAGGCATGGCCTCCCGTGTCCTTGTCTCTGGTCTCCCCCTGTCTCTTTCTCCTCTACCTCCGGGGCCTGCCCCTAGCTGCGTCCCCTGCGTCGAGGGGCGAGTGTCAGTAGAACTACACTTTGAGATCCCCGATTGATCCTAGGGGGGGTTACAGGCGCGTTTTCCTGGGGGGTTATGGGCGCACTGACCCGCTACTGAAACAAGCCCTTTTATCCCAATGGTCTAGTGGTTGGGATTCTGACATGGTATCAGAGCGGTCTCGGGTTCGAATCCCGGTGTATGCACATGTTGGCCGTTGCCACTGTGCTCAGTCCTGGGCCTCCCAGTGTGGGGGGGGTGTCAGTAGAGCTACACTGTGAGATCCCCGATCGATCCTAGGGGGGGTTACAGGCGCGTTTGCCCGGGGGGTTATGGGCGCACTGACCCGATACTGAAACAAGCCCTTTTATCCCAATGGTCTAGTGGTTGGGATTCTGACAGCGACAGCGCGCCGCCCTTCACTCCTCCGAGTTTCCTTCGACAGAGGCTCCGTTGCAGACTCTTCACATGGACGTGTTGGGCCCCGCCCGCGTCCATGGCCAGGGGCACGAGCGCTACTTCCTGTTGGAGGTTGACGACTACTCGCATTACACCACAGTCTTCCCCTTGCGCAGCAAGGGCGACGTCACTGAGGTGTTGATCGACTGGATCCGCCCAACTCGTCTCCAGCTCAGAGAGAGTTTCGGCTCCGACTTACCTGTTCTGCGTCTGCACTCTGACAGAGGCGGGGAGTTTTCCTCTTCCCGTCTGGGAGCCTTCTGTCGTGCACAGGGCATCCGCCAGACCTTCACGCTTCCGGCCTCTCCACAGCAAAATGGGATTGCTGAGCGCCGCATTGGCATGGTCATGGACGTCGCTCGTACGTCCATGATGCATGCGGCTGCCCCCCATTTTCTGTGGCCGTTTGCGGTTCAGTACGTGGTGCATAAGCTCAACCTTCAGCCCCGATTCTCCTTGCCAGAGACCTCTCCCACCTTGCGGTGGACGGGGAAGGTTGGCGATGCGTCTGCGTTTCGGGTCTGGGGATCTCGGGCGTTTGTCCGCGACTTGTCTGCGGACAAGCTGTCCCCCCGTGCTGTTCCCTGCGTCTTCCTTGGATTCCCCCCTGACTCGCCTGGTTGGCAGTTCTACCACCCCACCTCGCGCCGTGTTCTGTCCTCCCAGGACGTCACCTTTGACGAGTCGGTACCTTTCTACCGTCACTTCCCCTACCGCGCCGCGCCCCTTCCCCCGCCGCCGCTCTTCCTTGCACCAGGTCCTCCCCCGGTAGACCCCCTCCCCCCTCAGGGTCGTGCCCCGTCAGGTGTGTCCCAGGTAGACGCAGTCGAGCCTGTCGAGGTAGCTGTTGACTTTGGTGCTGCTAGGGGCGCTGAGCCTGCTGGTGCCGGGTCTGGGGGTGCTGAGCCTGGGGGTGCTGAGCCTGGGGGTGCTGAGACTGGGGGTGCTGAGTCTGGGGGTGCTGAGTCTGGGGGTGCGGAGCCTCGGGGTGCAGAGCCTGGGGGTGCGGAGCCTGGGGGCGCTGGGTCTGCTCGTGTGGCCGCCGGCGGTGCTTCGTCGAGGCGGGAGCCACTCTCTCCACAAGAGCTGCGCGAATGGTTTGCCCGCCGCTGGAGACGTGCTGCTGGAGCTGGAGGTACTACTGTTGCTGCTTGTCCCGGACGTGCTTGTACTGGCGGTCCAGGAGCTGCTGGGACTGGGGGTGCTGCTAGGGCTACTGGAGTTGGTCCTGCAGGAGCTGCTGGCGGTGCTGGTGCTGATGGAGTTGGAGCTGCTGGAGTTGGAGCTGCTTGGGGTGTTGGCGCTGGTGTTTCTACTGGCGCTGGTGCGTCTGGGGGTGCTGCTGAGGCTGCTGGAGCTTACGGTCCTACTAGAATTGGTGCTACTGGAGCTGGAGCTGCTGGAGCTAGAGCTGCTAGGGGTGTTGGCGCTGGCGGTGCTGCTGGCGCTAGTGCTTCTGAGGGTGCTTGAGTTGGCGCTGTTGGAGCTGGAGGTGCCGCTGGCGCTGGTGCTGCCGCTGGGGGTACTGGTGCTGTCCTTGCTGGTTCTGGAGGCGCTGCGCGGCCGAGGCCGTACTTCGTTCCGCTCCTGGAGCAGGTTCTTGGTCTCCCGCCCTCTACTGGTCATGCTCCTCCCTTAGAGTGTCCACAACCTGTCCAATCGCAGTCACAGTTACAGCCCGCCTCCCCTCTACCTGCTCCTTCTCCCTACACTGGTCCTACTGGAGGTCTTGCTGAGCGTCGTGAGCCTGCGTCTCGTCCTGCGTCGCCTGTTCGTGCTGCTCGCACTAGTGGTCGTACTGCGCGTCCGCGTCCTCCTGCGGTCCCCGGCACACACCAGATGGCGGTGCGTCCTTCCACTGCTCCTCTGCGTGTCCCTTTGCCGTCTCCTCCAGAGTCCTCTCTGCCTGTCCTTCCTGACCTTGAGTCCAACTCTCTTCGTGCTACCAGTCCTACTGTCACGCATTTCCTGGCCACTGTTCTCACTGACCCTTCCTTTAAGTCCACTGCTGCGTCTGCCTTAGTGGCTGAGCTTCTCGACTTCGCTGCTCGCTGTCGTCTAGACTACGCCACTAGTCTTGTTGCTGAGTCTGAGTCTGTCTGTCCTCCGTCCGTTGGGGGTGGGTGTGCTCTTAGCATGGACGTCCTTGAGGACAGGCAGGAGGAGTTCCAGTGTTTTGCTGCTGCTTTGCCTCATCTCGTGTCCACGTTGATTGCCCTTGAGGGAGACCCGGATGCACCAGACATCCCGACTCCTCGATCGTACGCTCAGGCGATCAAGGGTCCCTACTCCTCTCAGTGGCAGTCAGCCATGGACGCAGAGATGGCTTCCTGGAAGTCCACAGGAACCTACGTCGACGAGGTTCCCCCACCTTGGGCGAACATCGTCAGTGGCATGTGGATTTTCAGGGTGAAGCGGCCGCCGGGTTCTCCGCCTGTCTTCAAGGCGCGTTACGTGGCTCGAGGCTTCAGTCAGCGGCAGGGAGTTGACTACTTTCAGACCTTCTCTCCCACCCCGAAGATGACCACTCTTCGGGTGCTGCTGCACATAGCCGCTCAGCGCGACTACGAGCTTCACTCTCTTGACTTCAGCACTGCTTTTCTGTAGGGCAGCCTGCACGAGGAGATCTGGCTGCGCCGCCCACCTGGCTTCACTGGGTCGTTTCCTCCTGGTACCCAGTGGAGCCTCCGGCGGCCAGTCTACGGTCTCCGCCAGGCACCCCGTGAGTGGCACGACACACTGAGGACTACACTTGCGGCTCTTGGGTTTGCTCCCTCTACTGCCGACCCGTCGCTATTTCTGCGTACTGACACCTCTTTGCCGCCGTTCTACATTCTCGTGTACGTTAACGACTTGGTCTTTGCCACTGCTGACACTGCTGAACTTGCCCACGTGAAGTCGGTGCTGTAGAAGAGACACACGTGCACAGACCTGGGTGAACTGCGAAGCTACCTTGTCTTGCATTTCACCTGGGACAGAGCACAGCGCACCATTACCCTGACTAAGTCACACATGGCGCAGCAGGTCCTTCAGTGCTTCGGCTTTACGTACTCCTCGCCTCAGGCCACTCCTCTCTCTACTCGCCACTCACTCTCAGCTCTGCCTTCGGATGAGTCCGTAGAGCCGAGTGGCCCGTACCCAGAGCTTGTTGGCTGCCTCATGTACTTGATGACCTGCACACGACCTGACCTTGCATACCCTCTTAGCATCTTGGCACGCTATGTTGCTCCTGGGAGACACCGACTAGAGCACATGGCTACAGCGAAGAGGGTGTTGCGCTACGTGTGCAGTACGTTGGGCATGGGGCTAGTGCTTGGAGGGCGACGTCGAGTGGTCCTCACAGGTCACGCAGACGCTTCTTGGGCTGACGACCAGCCGACACAGCGGTCGTCACAGGGTTACACCTTCAGCCTTGGCTCTGGCTCTGTTTCGTGGTGGTCTACCCGCTCGTCTTCTGTTCTCACCTCCAGCTGTGAGGCTGAGATCTACGCGGGGGCCATGGCTGCACAGGAGCTACGCTGACTCACCTACCTGCTGACTGACCTAGGAGAGCCGCCTTGTTCTCCTCCAGTTCTGTATGTAGACAACAAGGCCATGCTGGCTTTGTGTCGGGAGCACAGACTGGAGCACAGAACGAAGCACATTGCTCTTCGCTACTTCCTGGCTCGTGAGCTGCAGTAGCGTGGTCACCTCCGCCTCACCTACGTGGCCTCTGAGGCCAACACTGCTGATATCTTCACCAAGGCTCTTCCGCCTTGTGATCATCAGCGCTTCTGTGCTATGCTAGGTCTTGTGCCTACTTGGCCTCACTTGCTCACTTCTTGACCTTGTTTGTACAGTACTCTTTCTATACCTGCACTTGCTTGTTTACCTTTATATATATGATCTTGCATGTGAACTGGCCTTGTGGCCTTGCTCTTGTGCTCGGACTGTGTGGTGACGTTATGATCCACCCTGAGCTTGCCTTGCTTTTCTTGACTGGTCTTGTGACCCCTTGTTCTCCCCCACTTTGCCTATGGGGGTGTGTCAGGCATATATGCTATAGTCTGTGTAGGCTGTAGTGGGGCAGTTCATATGGGGTACAACACTTTAGGGTTTACTACTTGTACTCCTCATTCTGCTCAATGCATTCATTCCTCGTTTCTTTTCAGGAGGTTGCTCGTACCTTCATGATCTATGCGGCTGCTCCCCATTTTCTGTGGGCGTTTGCGGTCCGATACGCTGCGCATCAGCTCAACCTCTCGCCCCGTGTCTCTGAGCCAGAGACCTCGCCCACCCTCTGGTGGACAGGGAAGGTAGGCGATGCGTCGGTGTTCTGGGTCTCGGGCGCGCTTTCCTTTGTTCGCGATGCCAAAGCGAGTAAGCTCTCCTCTCCCACTCTTCGCTGCGTCTTCCTTGGCTTCCCCACCGACGCCCCGCAGTGGCAGTTCTATTACCCACGTGACCGTCGCGTGTTCTCCTCCCAGGACGTCACCTTTGACGAGTCGGTCTGTTTCTATAGACTACACCCGCATACGTCCCACCCGGTCCCCCTAGCGCCTCTCTTCCTGGTACCAGTCTCCCCCCCCCCAAGTAGACCCTCTCCCCCTGGAGGGTCCT